AATGGAATAATTGGAATTGAACAGGCTAAAGAGGCCTGCGTGGGCCGAGACTAAATGAAAAATTCTCGAATTATTTTATCAGGCAAACAATTGTTATTTAGATCATATCTGTCAATTTATTAATTTAAACTAGAAACCAGGTTTAACAAAAATGAAAGGACGATATTTAGAAATCTTATTGAAACCTGTTTTATCTTATAGGTTGGAAAGTGACTGTTATAATAGAGTTTACTGAATCTAGGCTCAAATATTAGCTCGTATGAATTTAAATTTTGCTATCGAAAATAATCAACCATTTTTAGTAACTTTTCCAAATAACAATAAAGCTCGCTTACAAATAATACATGGTGACTTTGATATCACTTCCTTCAAATGCATTACAAACACTTTCACGAACGAAATCGAGATCTAAGCAGTCCAAACCTGTTCCAATACGAGGAATACTCAACCCGGTAACTTTAAATTCTTCACATAACCTTCTTAATTCCGCCAAAGATTTTTTAAAGTCTTCTTGAGTCGGTTTATCCCACGCAGTAGGTTTGGTGATTAAGTAAAAGATATATCGTTTATCATGAAAAAGATATGCGACTTCTCCAACTTTTTTATCTTGTTGTTTGAGTTTGTTGAAACCATTGAACTTATCTTTGAAAATTTTTGCAATACCCTTGCCCATACGAAGATCTTTTGAAACACAATGTGCTAAAGCATCTGTCGGATCTGGGTCGACGAATAGATCTCCTTGAATTTCTTCAAACGGCATTTTTTTTTTTCTTACTGCTCTTGTATATTATTTCTATACAATAGATATTAATCTAATGAAATAGTTAATATATGTTTTATGACCGTTCTTAAGACCTAATTTTCTTAAAAGTTTAATCTCTTACAATTTTAAATTTTTTGTTCAAGCGACTTGCAAAGTTTTTTATTTGGAAAATAGAATTTGTCTGAAATTTGAAATTTGACTATTTCTGAAATACAACTAAATTAATCACATGGACATCTTGTTAATCTCCCCGTGATTTTAATAGATACTCCGGTTTGCAATTTTTCATTGTTATAACAAAAACAAAATAACAATCAAATAAAATTTATTATTGCCAATATTTTTTTAAACTGCGCAAGTTTATTTTTAGCGACGTATCGGTATGTTGTATGTTAAGTTATGTAACTTATACCTTTTCCGGAATCTTTCATTTAGTTATCGACTTTAGTTAGTTGTATAATAATCAACTAAAAGTCGACTAGTCAATCAGATTATCATAATTTATATTGTAGTATATTATGTACTGAATTTTTGATTTAAAATCTCCGTAATTTATATTACTGAATTTTGATTTAAACGTCAGATTATCATATATATTTGTATATCAAACAAAAGTTTAATTTTGCTGAGCACTAGCTAGTTTACAGAAATCTTCTAGTCAAACTTTTTTGAAAAAATATAGAAATTTTGCTATGAAGTTATGGCAAATTGAGAAAAAAAGAATAATATTGATATTAGAAAGAAGAGAAAGAAACCTAATCTCTAAAGAAAAGATAAAATAAAATAGAATAAAGTGAACAAAGAAAACTAGGATATATCAAAAAAGAATTCTAAAGGGTCAAGTGAGGTTAAAGAAAGAAGAATATTAAAGAAAGCAAAAAACAAAATCAATAAATAGATTGAAAAAGAAATTAAAGAAAGTTGGTTAAGTTTTAAAAATAATTAGGCATTCTTAATATAGATGCATAATAGCTTTCTGCAGATCTTAAAAATTTGATTC